CTCTGTTACATTTATTTGACACCATTAATTATTTTCCTTTGTCACTTTACTTTGTTAACATGACATGCTCTTCTAGTTTTCTCTCTTGCTTTCTGACTCATTTCCTATAATCATTTAACCCTTAAATTGAGGTTCTACCCTGGCCCCTTTCTTTCTAACTGTATATTCTTTTTCAGTAGTTTGATTTATCTTTACAAATGTGTAAACATTTCAGATGTATCAGATGCTTCCTGTGCCTGTTGAAATATGTATCTAGTGTTGGCCTAAGCTTTTGAGTCTTTTGCGTATGTGCCACATATGCAGCTGTTTTGTTAATATACTCACCTTGATTTCAAGATGTCATTTTTAACATCTCTGTTGTGGGTTATTAATATTTATTATTGATTATCTTTTAGGTTAATCAGTGGTTAGTCTTAAACCAGCTGTATATGTAAATCACCACAAGAGACTAGAATTTATTTAATTAACCTAGAGCACAATGCTGGGTAATATTATTCCATCCTAAACCTCCAAGCCCTCATAGTTTCCTACCATTCAGATTTCACCCATTATACTTGATTTTAGTCATATCTTAGGTCTGGTTCATCTCTCTTCGTGGTTCCAAGTACTCTCCTGCCAGTCTCTCCTCTCCTATTCCTCCCTCTTGCTTCCTTCTCCTCCCTTCCGGACTAGGATGTCCCATCCTATTCTTGCCATTTCACAGCACTGGCTGTGCAATGTTTAATAGACAATTACAGAGAACAAATGGTGGCAAGTTTACATAAACTTGAGACAGGTGATGCTTGCATCGCAATGCAATGTCCAGATGAAACCAGATAGTGGGCTAGAGAAATCAGCATTTGAATGAACAAGGGTAAATTGTATATATTCCATAAGAACATTATACCAACAGATCTCTCTATTAGACTGTTCTTAGTTTAGGTACAGAAAACCCAGCTCACAGTAGCTTAAATATTAAAATTACTTATTGGCCACTGTAGTAAGAATACACAGACTAGCTAGCTTCAGGGTACTTTGTTATGTTGACACAGCTATGTAATTCGCTCCAAAAACTGTTCTGTAGTACACAGTGGCTACTTTCTCAGGAGCAGGCTACTTTCTCTCTTGGTCACAAGGTGGCTACTGGCAATAATACATCAAAGCTAATTTCAAGTTCAACGTAAGGGAATAGAATTTAGAATGTTTAATGACTTAGGTGGTGGTGTTTAGGTTTTCATTGTACATGTTAGTTTTATACAGTACTGTCTTAGTTAAGAGTTTCTATTGCTGTGATAAAACACCATGGTCAAATGTAACTTGAGGAGGAAAGGGTTTTGTTGTTTGGGTTTTTTATTTCAGTTTTTGGAGACAGGGTTTCTTTGTGAGGCCCTGGCTGTCTGGAACTTCCTCCAGACAGCTTGTAGACCAGGCTGTCCTGGAACTCAACAGATGTGCCTGTCTCTGCCTCCCAACTGCTGGGATTAAAGGTGTATGCCATCACTGTCAGATGGAAAAGGTTAAGAGTCAGGAATGTCAAAGATTGTCTTGTGTTTTAATCTTTAGGTGGCTGAATTAGGATGGAAAGTCATAATCTCTTAACTTTTGGTGGTTTAAACAATTTTTATTCATGATGTAAAATGTATATTTAGTAAAAATATATATTTGGTAAAAATCATGCTTGAATTTTTGAATTTTGATCTTTATTGATGCTAGCAATGTTATAATCCTGGTAGTTGCTGGATTGTGACAATAGGCCCCAGTTCTCAGGCAAGATACAAGATCATAGTTTAGCAATATAGTACAATATGAAGTAAGATAATTAGGTAGGTTAAATATAATCCTGTTCTGTGGTTTTGATTTCTTTTTAAAAATGGAGTCTCGTTTTGTAGTCCAGGCTGGCCTAAACCTCACTCAGGATGGTGTCAGGGTTGTGACAGTCTACGTGTCTTTGCTTCCCAAATGTTGGGATTACAAGTGTGTGTGCTATCATGGTTAAAAAAATATATATATATCTTTATTTCTACTCCCTAACCCTGAACATGATATGTAGAATATACTTAATATTTATAGGGTGATTTAGATGGACAAGAAAAATGTAAGTACATGAAAATGCACAATACTGCTTCTTAAGGTGTCTGGCTCTGAGTATATGTACTATAATTTTAGTGGGAAGATGTACTGTATAATTTTTTTTAATTGCAAGATGGAGGAGTGCTATGTGACAAACTTTTCCTTAGCAACACACACATAATACATCTCAGATGGGGAGCCCATGCCAGACCAAAGTACAGATATCACCAAAGTCCACCATGGTGAACCAATGAATTTTATCAGGGTTACTTATAGGAATATAGGAATATAGAAAAAGGGTTAGTTATGGTAGCAGAAATGGCTCAAAGGCTGCTGTACCACTAAAGCATGGGTGACAGCTTCCAAAGCTGGAAACCTAGAGCACAGTGCACACCTGGCAGCAGCTCAGCAGCTTGGAGAGTGCTCTTTCTCGTGGCTCAATTGGTTTGAGCCTCTTTGAGGCAGCTCTGCTAGTGTTTGGGTCTTCTAAGCCAGCATTTCTCAACCTGTGGGCCATGACCCCTTTTGGGGTTGAATGACAGCCCTTTTACAGGACTCGCCCAAGAATCTAGGGAAGCATAGATATTTACATTGAAGTCCATAACGGTAGCAAAATTACAGTTACGAAGTAGCAGCAAAAACATTTTATGGTTGAGATCACTACAACATGAGGTGTATTGAAGGCTTGCGGCATTAGGAAGGTTGAGAACCACTGTTGTAGGCAGTTCTTTTGGTCTCCAGGCAGCTTGGCTGTCCTGCGAGTGACCCTCTGTAGTCTTTACTGCTTATATATTCTGGGGAAGGGAGAAATAGAATGAATCTGGTCAGTTTGGGGGACTTCCAAAAGCTGTTTTTGAGTTGTTTGCCTCCAGTCTTAATGAGCTTCCCCTGGAGGAAACTACTATAAGAGGTTTTAGTGATACTAGAAGGGAGATTGAGGAAAAGGCAGTGTCTTAAATTTTTTTTTTTTTTTAATCTAGATTTATGTAGAATTGAGGGTAGGTAACAAGGCTCATCTGTATAATGTTACTTATATGTATATTTTTAGGGCTGACCATTCACACCTATTGGTGTGCTCTTCAGCATTCCTCTGTTGCCTGTTGTTGTTTGTATAGGCTTGAGGCCTCCTGGGCTTTCCCTCATCCATGTTAGCACGACTATTGTCCTTGTTCACCTCTTGTTTAAGGCAGTCATGTTGGTGAGGCTTTGTGAATGCCTTTGATGTTTCTTCTTTCTCTTTCTCTCTCTCTCTCTCTCTCTCTCTCTCTCTCTCTCTCTCTGGTTTTTTGAGACAGGGTTTATCTGTGTACCCTTGGCTGCCCTGGAACTTAATTTTTTTTTTTTTTTTTTTTGCCCCACTTCCTGAGCCTTGGGTATGGAAGTTACAGATGTTGTAGACAGGCTGTGGAACTATGTGTTTTGATAGGTTTTGTGTGGTTTTCTGAAATGGCTGCTGTCTGTTGCAAGGAGAGGTTTCCTTGATGCCAGGTAAGGACATACTCTCTGTGAGTAGGACAATATTTAGACTGTAGACATAGATTATTCTGGTACAGTAAAGTGATTTAATCTCAGCACTGGGGAGGGCAGAGGCAGTCAAATCTCTTGAGTTCAAGGCCCTCCTTGTCTACATATTAAGTTCCAAGACTGTGGAGAGATTGTCTCAAAAATAAAATATACATTTATTTCTTTATTGTGGGACATTGCATAGCATTCATTTGGAGGTCAGAAGACAATATTGAGGAATTGACTCTGCTTTTACTATGTGAGCTCTGAGGTTCAACTCAGGTCATCAGGCTTGGCAGCAAGTACCTTTGCCCAATGAGCTATCTTGCTGGCTCTATTGGTGGTTGTTGTTTTAGTTTTGTTTTTGTTTTTTTTTTTTTTTTTAATTACAGTTTATTCACTTTGCATCCCAGCTGTAGCCCCCTCCCCCAGTTTTTTAAATTTTTTGTATATGTGTGTTTTGACTACATGATACACACACACACACACACACACACACACACACACACACACACACACA